ATATTTTTTTGGGGCCTCGGTTTATACGGTCTCATCCGAAGGACCGACCCATTTACTCGCCTTTTACGACAAGCAAGGGGTACCGAGGTCCTATTCTAACCCCCCCCCCCCACGGGGCCCTTGAGAAAGAAAATCATATGAGATGAACGGAATATTTAATTGTGTAGTTTGATACTCCCTTTAACTAACTCCTGACAATGGTGTAGCCAGTCTCGCCGCGGCGAATTTAAAACATATTTTTACTTGTTGATGAAGTAAATATCAAATCACACAATGGTTGCTTTTAAATTTAAATAGACTTGTGTATGGGACTTCTTCTTCTATCATACACAAAAATTCAATGATGAAATTAGGAGGGGTAAACTTATAATGATCATTTAACTCTTTACAACTTACAGAATTGCTATGCAACATACATTGAATCCTTGCATCATAGAAATATTACTTTACCATTTCCCCGCAAGCACTTTATAGCGGGGTACAAATTTCTCTAAAGTTTAGCGTAAATGATATTCTGAAATAATATTTTAATTAGAAAATAACTTTTCTTATTTTATGAGACTCAAGCAAGTATGAAATAGTTGGAATTTGGCAATGAAATAAAGATTAAATGAACTTTTTAAAGTGCGTGAAAATGCATGAAAGCGGGGAAACGGTAAATGCGTGATTTTTGCGTTAGAAATATGAAATGGTATATGCGTTAAAATGCGTGACTGCGGGGAAGGGTGTTAACATGTCCCCAGACCTTGGAACACAAATCATATGTCGGTTATCTTTTACTATCAACAAGTGTACTTATATGTATCTGTCTGAGTACTTTGTGGCCAACTGTATTTTATCAGGTCACCTTACAGACTGGCGTAACACTGATACATCGAGGGCTTAATCAATACAAGGCTTAGTATATTGTATATGCACATGAACTAGTATTTGGTCAGATGTAGAATGTTATGTTTCAGCACGAAAAAGAGAAAATGAGTATAGATACGGCATATATGATTTTCATTGGTTTCCTAACAAGAAAGTAACGTGGTGGATTTGTGTGATAAACTTATACTGTTGCATGTACCCTATGAGAAATTGAGGACATATTCAGGATCATATAAAAAAACACTTTATCCCTTGCTTTGACACAAATTATAGTTAAGGTAACCTCATAAAACCAAATCTTCATTCAGTTAATGTTCTAAAGAAGCTTTCGTACATGTACATGTATTCTGTGTTTTAAAAACATTGTTACGTCATGTAAATTGCAATGTTTATGCAATAGCGTTTCAGATTCAACAGAAATGCCAAAATCGGGTTTAAGATATCTCGTACTTGAGGTAAGATGCAAAAAAGAAATGAAGGATTACCACAATACCTGGTTATTGACTCGAAATACGTATAAGTGTCATGTTGTAAATTTTGAATTTACCGGGTGGAAGTAAATACAAAATTTACAACATGACAACTGTTGTCATGTTGTAAATTTTGTAATTACTGCCAACCTGTAAATTCAAAATTTATAACATGACATAAGCAATATTTACTCAAGTCAAAAAGTGGTTAGGACATTTTTTTGCTCTCGCTAAATTATTGCATATTTAGACAATAACCATGTGTTTTATATACATCTTGACCTCATATATTTAAAGGAAATAAATGAATCTATATATGGGGGGGGGGGTGCGGGGGTTGGTACAGCATGTTCCTGACAGATAAATAGTATAACGAAGATTTATTAATAAATATGTTTACTTGAAAACAATTATAAGAATAAGTGATATCGTTCTAACTCGCCCCTGCCAATTTCTCTAAAAATGACAATGAATGATATCTGAACTTTATGGGACACTCTCAAAGATGTACTTCTGCATAATCCATTTTCATAAAGTTTTTACATCATTCCAATATATTTAACAAAGTGATCATTGCATCAATGGAATAGAAATATTATGTTACCTTTTATTTTGAATTATCTCTTTCAATTGCAGGAGACGGTATTAGTTTCTTCTTTTGTTTATTAACGTCTGTATTATGAAACTTCTCTCATCCGTGTAATACGGTGTTCTACCCATTAGATTAGATTTTATCTGTATTTATTCACAGGTACGCTTTATCATTAGTATACTTCCGGTTTTGGTGCAATCCTTGCTTCATAATGTAAATTTATAGAAACTTCTGCTTTATGAAAGTCCTTACGTTATCAGATGAATTATAAAAAAAAATTAAACATTTTTAAAGGACTCGTTTTACAACAGTTCCTTTTTTACTTGTATCTGAGATTTTTTATCCCCCCCTTCCTTCTTAAAAATCTTTCTTGAGAAAATGTTATGCCTAGCAGTGATGTTGTTTGTGCAAGGTTCATATGATAATGCAGAAAAATTTATCCAATTTTAGCAATGCGTGCTTATGCATTGTATTATATTGTATAAGTTATCAAACATGTCAAATGTCAATAAATAAAAGCTCATATACGAAGGGTGATAAAAAAAGTGTGCGAACTAATTGAATAAATTCCATGTAAGCTATAATATTTGGTTTCAGTGTTAATTTAATTTTAATTTAGCCTTCTCTGATTTTAATGCACATCTGTTTACGTTCTGCCCATCCTCGAATCACGTAATAAAGGCGGTCACGTAGGTATAGATAAGTATATCCTTTCCCCAAAAAGAAGCATGACGACCATCAAAACCTTTCTGTCTGTGGAGAGACATTTATTCAAGGTGAAACGAAAATGAGTGGCTACTTTTTATCATATCGTATATGTTAAAATCTAATTAAGTATACAATACCCTATGTATTTAATAATTATATTAGTGTTAAGATATTCAACTAATTGGCAAAATGTAAATAAGAGATCTTTGTTGGCCAATGGCTAATTTAAAAACACATGTTTTCAAACTTGTTTTCACTGAGAAATGTATAATATATCATTTTTAACCATCTACTGTCATTCACTAAAACGATCAATCAATTCATTGTTACAGTTTAAATTAATTGTAACTTATTTGTCTTAATAGACTGTGTACAAATTATTATACGCTGCTGCGAAGGATTTTCTAAGATATACCATAAATTTTACATCCATTCGTATAAATGAGAACGACTGATACAATCACTTTTTTGTTACAAGTGACCTACATAATGACATCATTTTCACATTTTGACGTCACAAACAAGGAGCAAAACTTTATTCAGCATATGCTTTTTATAAAACTTGTGTATGGCCATGTGAGTATACCATTTTTTTTCTAATCTGAATTGTGTGTTTTTTAGATATCGAGAAAGTTCGCGAACTTTTTGATCACCCTTCGTATGTTGTAAAAGATAGAGTGGATACTGTATCGTTCCAAGTTTTAGATTATCTAACTCCTGACAATAGTGTAGCCAGCCTCTACGCGGGCGGCGAATTTATAAATTTTAACTTGTTGAGTAGAGTGAATATCAAATCTTAATAAAATTTTGTATTAGACTTCTTTTCCTATCATTAATAATAATATCAATGATGAAATTGAGGGGAAAAACTCAAAATATCCATTCAAAACGTTCCGCAATCCCTCGGTACACAAACCATATCTAGGTTATCTAAACTATTAGTAACATATAGGTACATGTATATCTCTGAGTACTTTGTTGTTTACTGTTATTTAATCAAGATACCGTACAGACAGGCCTAAACATGAGGTATCGAGGACGTACCTAGTCAATATTAGATTTAGCATATTGTACAGTCATATGATTGCATGTTGTAAAGTTCGTTACATATGAAGATAGTACGGGTAAAATTGTGTGATTTACTGATACTGTTAACCAATGAGATATCGAGGACATAATAAATATTATACAATTATGGACTCTTTTGATGTTGAATATGGTTTGTTATTCACCAGAAAAATATTCATATTGACCGAGGCGAAGCCGAACAGTGTTATGAACTGTTTGCGTTTGTATAGATTATATAGGGACTATAAATAGACTATATAATAATAAATAATGTGAACTCTGCATTTTGTATATCATGATGCTTCATATATAAAAAATATGGATTGATATAAATTTCGTAATCTAAACGTATTTTGATAGAATTTTTCAAATTTCTTTTTTTTAATAGTATACGATGTATTAATACTCATGAACTTATAAAACACCCCCTTCCATCTAAGCCCTCGGTTAAACAGATGATTATTTGACAGTTGAAAAAAAATAGATTATCAATAAAGTGAACGAAGCGTGACGTAAAATTAGCTGATAAGAAAGCGTATTCTAGATCATAGCCGAGTACTCTATTCGTTAATAAAGAGAGTTGACGTTCCTCTTTGAAAACATCTTTGTAGTTTTCAGAGATCACGTCTTTCAACAATCTCTTTGAATTTGCCATGGAAGTTTATAGTAATTTATTTAAAAACTAATGCATGTAAAGAAAGAACTACATGTACATGCATCCTTCAACTTGACATTTTCATAAATCGACAATATGTTATTAATTAAGTGAATATTGTCGTTTTTCATACCAATTATTAGTCTATTATTTATACACTGACTTGACAACGGATTTTCCCCCTGTTCTTTCCTGATCATGACAAGGAGCACACGGCGGGTGTGACCGGTCACCAGGGGATGCTCACTCCCCCATGGCACCTGATCCCACCTCTGATGTTTAGGAGGTCCGTGTATGCTCTGCTCTTATTTTGTATATTGTTTAATGGATTTTGAGATTAAATACTGTTTGTTATCTCCATATCCTTCTTCAAACTTTCAGTAAGATTTATTATGTAAAACAATGCATCGTTATGTCATTTTATTTGCTTTTAACTTTTAAATAAATCATACAAATCACTCTAAATCTAACATATGTTTTATGGTCAAGTGAAGAATAGCCTGCTTTTAAGAAACCTATAAACTATAGCTACTATAGCGACATCTATCTTGCGCTAGGCAAACTTTTTTACATGAAGCTGGATCCGAAATATTTCTTTGATCAATAAGATGAAGACAGAAAGCAATTAACTGTTACC